AAAGCAAGCTTTTCTTTATAAAAACTTCAATTGAATTTCAATAAAGTTAAAGGCATGGCCTCACCATTAATATTTTTTTAAAAAAAAACAATATATACAAGCAAATATGAATAAAAAGATATAAAGCAGTACATCAAAACAGTTTACTAATAAATACACTTACTGTTACAACATCTAAACATCCAGCTACAGATCAAATAGTTATAAGTAAATATGAAAAATAGGCAATCATCTTTTCTACCACAAACATATAAACCTTCTACATTGCAAATTAAACCTAGAAGAGGTCTGATAGCCTACTCTAGTAGAGTTTTGGGCTGAAGATAAATTAGTCCTAGCTATAGGTCCCTGTAATAATTTATGTAAAACGTTTTAATTAATGTAATACCAAATTGTCCAATAAAGTCCGAGGTCAGACCTCACTTTTAAATAAAAAAAACAAAAATAAAATTAAAATTATAACGACGTAATTGCATTGTTTTACGATCTTAATTTTCCTTTTTGCTTACTAATGAGAATATTTACAACTTTTCTTATAGGTACTTTGCAGGTTTAAATATTGTTTACATACTGAAATTATTTTTTCATTTACTCATTGTTGCTTTCTGCATTCATGAATTCTTAATAAACCATATTTTCAAAATTTTCTAATCCTGTGTTCCATTTACTTTTTATCTATACTCATCATTTAAATAACTAAAGTATTCATTATTATTATTTTCGAATGAATTTTGGGTTAATAATTTTTTAATACAATTTAGCATTGATGATTTCAACACCCAAAAAACTTGTTTTGACAAAAAGTTGAAACTGGACTTCGACTTTCATCATGAAGAAACTTCCAAGTTTTGTCTAACAAATATACCGAATAAATCTCATCCAACGCGGTTGCTGCGAATAGTTAATTTAATATCATGCTGCAGCAGTTTGTTGATTGTTATATGCAATTTTGACAATTTTCTTTTAAAGATTAATGCATAGTTATGAAGTCTCAAAGTCAGGTGATTTTTATTGTTTACAACGTAACTTGAGGACAGCTTGGTGGCTAACTTGCTGTCAATCATCAAGTGACAATTGATGTCGATGCTGGGAGACAAAATAAAATGTATTTAAAAGAGAATTTGTGGTGAGTTTCAAAAAAATCACATTTTTTTGAATTCTTAATGTTCTCATTATAAGAAAATTAATGTTAAAAAAATTCGTTAAGTGTTCTCATATAAAGAATTTATTATTCATAAATTATAATGTGTTCTCGGTAAGGAACCTGGCACGCCATTTAGCAAATGCATGCCAAGATGCCACCCTGCCTTGCTATACTATAAGTATAGTAAAAAAGATTTTTTGAAATATAATTAAATTTTTTGTAACCAATCAAATTATACAAAAATAAATTTATAATAATTGTATAATAAAGGCATGCTATCCTAATTTTTGAGACAACAGCATGCTAGTAACCACTGTGGCAGGTTCTCTAGTTCCCGGAGAACACTGAGAGCACCAAATTTTTTGCACTGGTAGATATCTTTTGTGATACCTTGTAAAACACAACATATCATCAAACGTCAGAAATTTGGATTTTAATCGGTAGTGGAGTTAACATTCGTTAAAGTTAAATTCATGCGGTCAAAAGTATTTTCTAATTAATTTATTTATTAAGTGAAAAAGGAAATAATGTAAAATGCAAATTACTATATAAAAGTGAAATTTAAAGTATTATAAAGATTTATCGATCAAAAGTATTTTCTAATTAATTTATTTATTAAGTGAAAAAGGAAATAATGTAAAATGCAAATTATTAAAGTGAAATTTAAAGTATGATAAAGATTTATCGATCACAACTTATTAAGCATTAAAATATAAAAGAAATGCCCAAAGCCAAGCCAGCGATCACCAATTTTCCAGCAAATCCAAATACAGAACTTTCGATCTTATTTGCATTACCGTAGTAACTATAACCATCCGAAGATGATGGTGTGGATGTAGTATTAGAGTATGGTGAATTATTACCATTAGAAGATGGAGTGGCAGAAGGATTGTTGGGACTATTTGGAGAATCGGTTCCGGTTGGAGAACTGCCGGTTCCAGTTGGAGAACCGCTGGGTCCACCCGGTGGGATAGTGATGGAACCACTTACACCTTTGATGCTGAAATGACCAGAATAAGAAGTATATTCATCTTTACCAATAAATTGAGACAATATAAGAAAGCTGGTGTTTTAAAAAATAAAAAATTCGATTAAATAAGAAATAAAATTTGTAAGAATATTCAAGTTTAAATATGTAATAACTTACTAATTATTGCTTTTTGGACCAATATCTTTAGGCACTTTAAATTCAAATTTTAGTTTTGTGCCCTTAATATTTTTGCCTAACTCAGCTACAAACACTTGGTCTGTTGCATTGCCTATTTAAAATTTTTAGATTTAATATCATGATACTGTAAACAATGCTATTCTCTAAGTTTAATTCATCAATAATAAATGTATTTAAAATAATTAACAAACTTTAAGACCGTTCAAGGTTGATTAATTGACGTCAGTACAAGGAGGAGGAGGTTAATAAACTCATGGATACAAAATTTTTATTAAATCTCATTTGTCAACTTCAACTTTAAACACGAATGACATCAAACTATTCGGCCTTGAACGGACTGAAAATTTTATTTTTGTGTGTTCTTTGAAGAATATGTCAATGAAGAACTTACCATTATACAATCCAATAGTTAAACTATTTAGATCCTTCAGCGAGGGCGATGTTTGGCCATTATCATCTCTCCATGTTATCGTTTGCTTATTTCCACCTTTCCAAGTGACACCTTTGAACGGATTTGTTACTTCAAGACCAGCTTGGACAGTTGATATCAAATATAAAATTATAGTAATTATAAATATTGAATACTTCATTTTTTTGATTTTTTTTTTTGCTTTTTGATTTTTTTTTTAGAAAAAAAATTCAGTTTATATAAATAAACAGAAATATAATATGAATTGGTTCATAAATAACCTACTATAATAGAATAACACATGAAATCTTAATTTCAAATTAATTTACTGTCGCTATGAAAATCCCGGAATTCAGGATAATGAACTTGCGGAAATTACAAATTTAATATAGAATAAATTCCCGTATCATGGGACTGTTGACAAATGGATTGCTAAAAATTTTTTTGACACAACGGAGTAAGATCGATACAATTTCAATTGTTCGAAGATGTTTAATTTACATAATATTCTATTATAGTAATGTACTTAATTTAATATGGATGACTATGGCTCAAAAAAGAAATGTAGATTTGGTGTTAATGGATGCCGATTTTTACATGTGTCCGATTGTTGCCGATCGAATCACGAGATCATGTATGATCTGGAAATAACTACGTGATATACTTTACTATAGGAATTGCAATTTGACTTCTAAATAAAACTTTTCAGCATAGTTTTTTTATTTACATAAATGTATCAAATATCGAATATCTGATAATGAAAGTCTGAACTAAATTCTGATCGACAGTTTCAGACGTGATCAAGAATCGTTCTTTCACGTGCTATCGGAGAATATGAATGAAATCGAGGAAAAAAAAAAGAGATTTCTGATTTAATTTATCATTCATTGTTTACCTGGTTCAGTCTGTAATTAATTACTATCATACAGTATATGTCATTAATGGTGGCTAAATCTGGAAAAAATCGATATAGCGAAGTCCACATTCTGATCTAAGTCTTCAATATAAGGAAATATTCGGTTATCAGAAGATAAAATTTTATGTTCAAACAAATTTATAGTGCAAGAAAAAATATTCTCTATGTAAATATTCGTTATTTCGAGTTTTAACTTTAATAAACAATAAACTTGAAGGCCTGTTGCCTCATTTTTCCTTGATATCATACATATATATTAGAGTGTTTTATTGACGCAGTAACACATGACCTAAACCTCAAAGTCCTAACTCTAACCAAACCGTGTAATCGTTTAATAACGGGTATGGGCGTTATTTTGAAATTATAACACCTAAAAATGATATGCATGGTTTCGAAATGACGCCCATGCGCGTCCAGAAATAACGCGCATGTTTCGATCGCTCATATCAATGTAAATTGGCTAATCACATAAATGTCTTTGTCTTTTTTGTCTTCTTATGTTGGATGATCAACCTTTATCTTAAAACAACGCACGTATGCGCACTCAAAATAACGTACATATACTCAACATATCGCGCAGTTGGTTAATGTCGGCGGCTATGATGCGTCGATAATAGAAACTGTTATGGCTTATGCCGTAACTAATTACGGGATAAGCCATAACAGTTTCTACTGCATCTCTAGTCAATAATGTTAATGCAGGCAGGTACTATATCAATAACATATTCGGATGTAGGTAAACACGTTAAGTATATGTGTGCATATGTGCGTATGTATGTACGTAACGTACTTCTGAATTTTTCATATGTTTGATTAACAATAAATATTGAACTGTCATGATTATAACAATGAATACAGTATTGGGCAATCAAACGTCATTAAGTAACCATGATTTGTTTCAGTTCCAAGAAAACAAAAAAAATGTCGAATTTAGATGCATAAATAATTAAAAATTGTTAAAGTATCAGCTCATTTTCTTCAGGATTACTTTCGTGTAAAATTTCAAAAAAAACTTTATTCTTTGATCATGTAAAGGTATTGTTGATTAAAATATTTATTTCAAATCACTTGAATGTCATATGCAATCTAAATCGGACAGTTTTCACGAGTACTGCAATTGATGCATTAACACAATTCTTTGACATAAACACTTCTAATGAGAAGATGTACGTACGTAAGTGTAAATAACTATCTAATGGAAAAATTTGATGACCAGAAAAAAATTTGACAAACCATTACTATAATGTTAAAACATATATAGTTTTTTCCTGCTAGGACCTCTGCCTTCTTAATATATATTTCTAAAACTTTTGTTCGTAAAATCCATATTTGTTCTGATTCATGCTGTCCATAAAGTTACTGCAAGAAACGTTTTAGTGTATTAAATAAATCCTTTTACAGAGGAGCAGGCAATATTTTTTACTAAAAATAGTAATATTTGAAAAGTTATAAATGAAGCTACGTATTATATTTGCACAACCTTAGTTCTCCGAACTCCGAAAATAAATATACCGCAATACAACTATTGTAGTTGTTTTTTACCTTTTAAAATGATATCATTACCAAACGAATGCCTTTTTGAAATAATTATCAATCTTAAAGGCAATTATAAAAGTTTATTTTCTTGTCTTCTTGTAAACCGTCGATGGTGTAGAAATGTTGTACCCATATTATGGAATGAATTGGACATTTCTAAAAATAAAAATCTTGTAAGAACTTGTCTTTCATTATTAACCCCTGAAGAACAAGTTCAATTAATTCCATTTGATATAATTCTTTCAAATAAGCAAAAACCATTATTTATGTATACTTCTTATACTACCATTATTAAGATTAATTCTGATGATGGTTTCATAAAATGGTTTAATCATTATGGTCATGGTTCTCGTTATTTATCTTATTATTCTTGTTCAAATGTTACTCAATCTATTAAATATACTTTGACTATAATGTTTCTACGAACTTGTAAAAAACTTAAAGATTTAACAATTTATGGTAAAGCTATAAATTTATTGGAAAAAATTCTTGATAAAAAAAATTTAATTTCTTTAAAATTTCCAAATAATGAACTTGAATCTGATGAAATTAATATACTATCAAAGGCTCTTTGTAAGAATACTACTTTGACTTGTTTGGATCTTTGGAATAATCGTCTTGGTTTGGAAGGTGGAAAAGCTTTAGCTAAAGTGCTTTGTGAAAATACTACTCTTACCTCTTTAAAACTTGGTTGTAATCAACTTGATATTAAAGGTGGAAATATTTTAGCCGAGGCTCTTTATAAGAATACTACTTTAACTAATTTATATCTTTCTCATAACTGTTTATGTCCTGAAGGAATAAAAGTCTTAACTAATGTTCTTTGCAGTAATACTACTATAACTCATCTGAGCCTTTCAAATAATTTTCTTGGTTATTCTGGTGGAAAAGCGTTAGCTGAAGTTCTTCACAAAAATAATTCTTTAACTTACCTAAGTCTTTGGAATAATAAACTTGGTTCTGAAGGTGGAAAAGCTCTTGCTGAAGCTCTTTATAAAAATATTTCTTTAACTTCTTTAAATCTTAGTCAAAATCAACTTGATCCTGAGGTAGGAAAAGCTTTTGCTAAAGTTCTTTATCAGAACACTGCTTTAAGACACTTATATTTATGGTATAATCAAATTGGTCCCGAAGGTGGAAAAGCAATTGCTGAGGCTCTTTGTATGAATAATTCTTTAATTTATTTGAGTCTTTCAAATAATCGTCTTGGTAATATAGGTGTTAAAGCTTTAGCTAAAGCTCTTTATAAAAATACTTCTCTAGAGACTTTAAAACTTAGTTATAACGATCTTAATTCTGAAGGTATAAAAGTATTGGCTGAAGCTCTTTGTAAAAATAATACTTTAACTTCTTTAAATCTTAGTAAAAATCAACTTGGTTCTGAAGGTGGAAAAGCATTAGCAAATGCTCTTTATAAAAATACTACTTTAACCTCTCTTAATCTTGGTAAAAACCTAATTGGTTCTATAGTAGGTGACGAATTAGTAAAAGCTCTTGAAAATAACACTACTATAACCTCGTTGGAACTTTTCAGTAACGATATTGATGATATCACTTTAAATAGAATTAATAAATTGCTTATAAAGAACGAAAAAAATTAACTTTGTAAGTTATTATACTTCTATATGTAATATAAATAAAACATTAGATTACTAATAAGTAAAATTAATGTTAGCGTTAATATCATATCTTGATTTTTTTACGCATGTTGGTTACCCTGGTTACCCTGCTTACCGTCATAAAATTTGTACAAAACGTTGAGTTAGTTGACGGCAGAATTACTATTACTGAATTACGCATTTTATCGGATGGTAAGCATAGTATATCTGATGGTAAGCATAGTATATCTGATTCAGGGATGGTGAATACTTCCATTCCATTTTATTCTGATTTAAATTGACCAATCTGAATTGCATCTAGCATAGATACAAGTTTTGATTGGTCAATTGATGTTGGAATAATATGGAATGGAAGTATCCTGATCGCCGTAATGCCTATATGCCGTAATGCCAATATGCTGTAATCTGTAATACCGTAATGCCGTGTCGTGATATCATAATACTATATTAATACGTAACTATACGTAACTATACGTAATATTATAATAATTAAATACATACCAAACTAAGAATAGATGATGTATGATAAAATTTACATTGATCATTTGAATTGCAATTTTATATATCAAGTTATAAATACAGTCAGACCTTTTTATAGTCACCTTTACTATAGTCACATCTGCATAAAATTTTAAAACCAACTTATATAACTCTTATAAATTTAGCCTCAATATAGGTACAAACCTCTATATGCACTAAATTCTTAAAATCAAAGTTGTGACTATAGAGGTTTGACTGTACTTATTTGTTATAATATACAAATCATTTATTCATATTAATTAGTTAATGTATATAAAATTATTTATTATTATAACAAATATAATAAGATAGAGTAATATTTAATAGTTATAACTTGAACTTATTAATGGTTTTTTTTTTTTGTGTTAAAGGTTATACTTTATGGTGAAACTTTATTGACTTTTTATTGGGTTAGTTATTACAACTATTTTGTACAGAGATAAGAGTACAACTAGTCACATGTAAAACTTTTGGTTGTCTATTTAAGTAGTCTGTCCTAAGGTTTTACATTAAATATCATATCTATAACCTACTAGAAGATTATTCATTTAAACCCTCTAATTATCTGTCCTGTTATAATGTAACACCAACTAGCTTTTTGTATATACCTAATTGATATACTATAGTACCTATCTTTTTTGTATTGGTTTTTAGGTTATTACACATTTTAGAATATAATATCTGTCAGTAAGATGTAGGGAGTTTCTCTTATTAATTACTTACCTACTCTACAAAACATTAATAATGATTATTCTTGTAAAGTCATCTAAACTCTAGCATTGATTTTGCAACATATTCCTAGTACTTTTAGTATATTTTTGTTTTTATTATCAAATTTCTAATTTAGATAACTGAGAAGAACTGTGATCTGTCCTTGATATATCAAGATCAGCCTAATATCCTTTTCTTCTAGTTCAAAATTTAGTACAAAAAGGTGAAAATTTATACCCTTTAAGTTAATTTTCATACTAACAAATTCCAAGTTAAGCAGTTTATTAAGAGTTTTTTTAAATAAAAGTAAAAAAAATAGAACTTGTTGAAAATATCAATGTAACAAAAAATTAGTCTGTTATATAAATTTTTTGCATAATTGGTAGTACTCCTCATCTGAAATTTTTGCTTATCTGATTCCTTCATATTGGTATCTATTTTTTAGATTTAGTTTTTATAGTAGTATTGTCAAAGATTGTGCTATTTCTTTACTTAGTATTTTAAGTAAGTTTAGTTTTCTAGTTTTACAGATTTATATAGCTACAAGGATTTATCTTAGGTTTGCACTATCCAGTATTAGTTTGCATCTCTCTATATAACCAAGATTACACAGATGCTCTGCAACCTGCCAGTCATGCTGGTGCAACCATAATTACAGGTATCTTATTTTAACTGATTAATAGAATACTGTCATCATAATACTATCTATGTATTATATAGGTAATTATCTAAATTTTCACTATTATTGAGTTTTGAATTTACAACATACTACTTATAGAATTGACAACTTATCTACTTCACTAAGTTACTATACCCTTAACTTATTAATATTAATTAGTTGTTTTTTAGAAATTATAAATAAGCAATATAGAAATTTTAGAATACATTTAAATATTTCAAAAAATTAATTATAAAAAATTAATATATAAAATTATCAAAGCTATTAGCAATATTAATTTTTTTTTTTTTTTTATTATTATTAAGAGTGAGGCCTGGCCTTGGTCTTTATTAAACAATTTGATATTACATTAATAAAAATGAGTTACATAAATTATTACATGGACCTATAGCTAAGACTAATTTATCCCCAGCCCAAAACTCTACTAGAGTAGGCTGTTAGACCTTTTCTAGGTTTAGTGTTGCAATGTAAGATATAGATATGTTAATAGTAGAAAAAATAGTTGTCCATTTTTTATATTTTGTTGTGGCTACTTGGTCTGTGGCCGGATGTTCTGGGGTTATAATTGTGAGTATATTTGTTAGTAGAACATTTTGATGCATGGCTTTTCATCTTTCTGTCCATATTTGTTTGTAAATATTATTTGATATTTTATGAAATGGAATAACAAGCATGTTCAGATTAATATTGCAAGTTGCAGATGGGTTGTTTGGAATTAATCCTTGCAATCTAAAAAGATTATATATGTTGTTTAATGTTTAAAAGAGTTATTGT